ATATATTTTTACATCATAAAAATCTTCAGTATTTAACAACCTTTCATTTTCATTAAAATATTTTTCAAATATTGAATTCATTTTTTAAAGATAAAAAAATGTGAATGGCCAATCACATGTTACAATTAAATTATTATGCAGGTTTTAAAAGTATATAAAAAAACTTTTTTTATCACTTGATCTGCAATATTTTGTCAAACAAATACAATTTTTTTTTTCAAAATGACTATCAAAATCATTATCATTCAAGAACAATAAAAACGCAAATAAAGTAAAAGAGGAGTCGAATGCACGGTCTCGTCCGGTCCAAAGGGAATGCACTTATGGAGGTTGACTATATTGTAAATTCAGTATACAAAAATAAATAAAATCCACTTTATAATAATTCAACACAAACAAACATAGATTTGATGAAACATTAATTCTGATGAGTTTTATCATTCCATTAGTGATGATTATGAAAGTACTAAAAATTTTACCGATTCGGAATCAAACTTCGATAGTATCAATAATTTACCCGGTCGCGTTTACTTCGTCGGTACATATTTCGTCGGACAGTTCATTTCGTCGACAAACTCTTCATAATAGTGATGGTGATATAGATGGGCGTCTAAATTGTTTTTGGGGTTGTCTAAAGTCAAAATAATATTTAGTCAAAAATGTCTAAATGTCTAAATTAATATAAATAGTAATGGTTTGCTTTAAATATAACTAAAAGTCACAAAATTCAGTAAATTATCCAATAAAAATTCAATTTCAACATTTTATACAATCATGGTCTCAATCGTCTAAATGTCTAAATTAATCTATATTTTAGACATTGTCTAAATAATTTAGTTCTATAATAGACGATGATGATATTGTCACCGACTATTTTGGTGATTATAATAATTGATGATAATTATTATTTTTAATAATGTGGATTCTGACAAATTGCTAATTAATAGTATGAGATTTCGTTTGAATCAAAATATTTATTTTCCGCATGAAATTCAGTCATTAGTATGCTCGCAAACTAATTAGTATCCAAATTTTCTTTTTATCTAAATTTCCTGATGCTTTGAAATCATGATTCCTAGGTTCAATCAGAATTAACAACTAAACAAATTATATTAATAATTATAATCAATGCATATGTTGCGTTAAAATCATTGACGAAATGACCGTCGACGAAGTGATTGTCGATGAAATGAATCAGACCTTAATTCACCTGTTTCTGATGTATAGAATCATTTTGAAAAAATCGAAGATTCAAGAACTATGGAAATTAAATCTTTCAAAAGTATGTGCGAAATCTCTTCTTGTGACACGCATTTCAATTTATCCAAATATTAGTAGACAAACAACAACATTCACTTCCTACCAATTTCGACCTTATAACGTAGTTATATTACAATACGTACGATTGAATAAATTTTTAATGGTAGAGCAAGATCAATTTCTTGCAGCATTAAATTCTCAATATATAATTTCATGCCGTCAAACAATTAAAGGTTTACCAATCTGCAATTAGATGTAATAAAATTAAACATGATATTGATATATTAAAAGAAAATCTGCTTTAACAATGGACATATGGACATCGATCACAATGAATGAATTTTGAATTAATATATATATAAAACTGTATATATTTTTGAAATATATTAATAATTTGAATTGAATGATGACGATAAAAAAATTTAACAGAAGACCAGACTGGTTCGGTCCGCGGTCCATTCAGTCCGAACCGGACTATTAACATCCCTAAAAGTAAGTAAGTATTGCTGCAGTGTACTACATAATAAAAAAGTAAATAATGTCATTTTGTAGTTTCAGGTCCTTGCGGTTATGCATATGAAATTTAGTGTTTCTTGTATTATTATTTATTCTAGAATTTTTTAATTAAAATTATGCAGTATTTTCAAAATTTCACAGTAAAAATTTATTGAATTACATCAAATGATTATGTTATAGAAATAATAAATAATATGATAACTAGATTCCCGTAATAGTAAATAATTACTATTACGGCATTTACGGTCTTATGGTTTACGACTTTTACAACTTTAGGATGTCATGCCGAATTTATTTACGGCTTATATCGTAATTCCAATTGCCGACATACTACTTTATTCTAAACCGACGTCATTTTTTTCTACCAAATGCTTATTATTATTAAAGGACTTTTTTAGCAGGATACTGACATTTAATTTGAATATTGTAATAAATCGGGTGTCATCCTGGTATATCAACAAATCTAATTAATGTCGTTGATATTATGATAAGAAAGCCAAAAACCAAAATTATCCCAAAAAATAAGTATTTGCTTTTAATAATATATTTATTAATTTGTTAGTAACATTTCAAAAATTTCAAAAAATGAGATTTTTTTATTAATTACATGGTCACAATTTTTTCACTATTGGTATTGTTACCTCAAAAAAGTCTCACTGTACCAAATAACGGTGTGTTTTACATTAATTATTTTACTTTGAGGATAGTAATTATAAATTAATATTAAACTTGTTTTCACAATATGAAATTAATTAGTATTAGTATAATTAATAACATAACGTATGTTGAGTCAATTGACTGACTCGTATCATCACATCGTACTAATTTTGGGGTCCGAACAAAATCAGCGCATATGTCCTTCTAAACAATTATATTCCGTATGTACATTTCTGTCAAAATATAAAGAGATTTTTAAGAAAAAATTGCCATGGTAATAGATACTACATGTGTTGATTTCACAATCATTATTGATGGAGTTAAATTACTTTGTTGCTTCTTCGATAGCAATTTTGCCACCAACTCTGTTATAAAATAAGTTAACTTTAAAAAAGAGTCATTTAAAAATATATATATATAAATATAAATCTCACTGGTTTATTAAAATGCTTCTATTTTTCTATTTTTTAAAAAAAAGATGACCCAGTAAGATGTCCCTAGAAAAGTTCCTGATATAGGAAATAATTATACCTCCACTATATAGTATTGTGGTGATTCGAACAGCGGTTAGAGTGGGAACAATAGTTGGAGTCTGAGCGGCTGGAGCTGGAGTGAAAGTAGCGTTCTGTAGTTTTAAGGACGAAATCACCTTATACGGCTTTTAAATAGTGATCTCAAATTTATCTCAATACTCATCATGCATCTGTAAATAATTATTCCCTTACCTTTCCTTCCTGAATAACTTTGTTGCTGTTGTAAGGCATTGGATGTGCAATACTGATCTACATAATCTTCTCGTTTGCTTTTTTTTTCAAAGCTTTCTACTAATAATAATGAAGAACAGCCTCAACCAGTTCAAAAAGTAGCTTCTACCCATAATAATGACGAACGAACAACAACGGTAAAGTAGTCATCTAGTTCAAAGGACAGTGCGAGCGTGCAATTTGAATTTCTTAATTAGTTGCTGTTAGTCGTTTAGTCACTTACTGCTTTACTATTGCAGACGAATTTTGGCCAAGTGTCACTGTTTCCTTTCCAGCTACAAATAAATATATACAACTATACTACAAGCAACATAGTAAAATTAAAGGTTGGTCAAACCACTAAATCATTAGAAAGGTCATGAACCAATCACACCAGTTTATTAACAATTATTACTTCTTGAAATACTACCAATAAAATAAAATGGAATAAATGGAATGATAAATGATGGCTAATTGTGATTACTAATGCTAAATGCCCAAACGCATCATTGACAATAATCGGGATCCCAAATCGGTCCTCAATTTACTATCTCACAAAATAACCAAAGTATTTATTTATTTATCCAGTTCAAAGAGCAACTTCCTCTACTAATAATGAGAAACAACAATGAAAAAATATTAAATTAGCTAATTATTTTGAACATAGAAAATTAAGCTAATTTGTTCAGCCTCTTTAAAATTCTGTTTCATCAACAGAAAAGGCCATTTGTTTTAAATTACAAATGACCCAATTTTCAAAATCTTTAGCCAATTTATCTCGAGTTAGCTAGGATCCTTTTTTTTTTTTTTTGCGCTTAAAAATGTCATTTTTAAAAACGAAAAAATTAATTCCATTCAACATTTATAATATCCTTTATTAAAATTACAATAGGCCATTTTCCATTCATTGTCTAATTTAACTAATTAGTCATATTAATCGGCGTTTTATACAACATTTTAATCAAGATTTATTTGACATTATGCTAGTGACGAAAGTAAATTTATAAAAATGCAAGATTGTACTGTTATTATAAACGGAAATGGCCCGTACGTAATAATTTGTTAATTATCCAATCAAATTGTATATATTTACGTAATATTTGTTACATTTTATTACATCATATGTAAGTGTGTGTTAAGTGTGTTCAATCACATGGCATCGTGTAATTAGTCTTTGCCCAATAATAAAACACACGTATATATATATATACTACTGGAAAATATTTCTAAAAAAAAAAAATTAAAAATTTTGAATTTTAAAATAAAATTATGTCAACTTCACAAATGCAAAAAGTTGAACCTTCAAATAATTCCAACTTTTTTAAATCCTTGAACATGACTAGATGTAAGTAAAGTGATGCAACCCCATCTTTCATAGTCATCGTATAATTCTAACCTTTTAAAGTTCTTGAATACAATTAGATATAGACTATTTAAAAAATTTACTATATAAAGAAAGCTATATTCCTACATTAAATATTACAATTAATATACCGTAAGTATTTTATGATCATCATGATCATCATGATTTCAATTTTGTTCCAATTAATTATATAATTACATTCTAGTACAACAGATAATGATTCGAAGTTTCCAAGGACATTAGTTTCTGTTATTGCAAAAAATATAGATGGCTGGGCCAATATTAAAAATGAGAATGACATTATTATAGAGTCCATCAAAGGAGCATTGACAAACAACATATACTTTATCACTAATATTTCTTCAAATAAAAAAATAATCTTGAGGGTTTATGGGAAAGGAGTTGATAAACTATTGAATCGAGAAAAAGAATTGGACTTTTTAAAAATGTTATCAAAGGTGAACATTGGTCCTCAATTATTATTGATTTTTAATAATGGTAGATTTGAACAATTTTTCGAATCTGTAAACCTGACAAAAGAAGAAATGAAAGATGAGGAAATTTCTCGTAAAATAGCTGCCTACATGTTTAAATTGCACAACGTTGTGACAATTTTTCCTCCTGATAATATTGAAAATATTGTTCCTGAAGTCTGGTCCAAAATTGACCAATGGTTCCAACTAGCATGGGATATAATTAATTCTGGTTCTTCCGATTCCTCCAACAATGTTAATATAGAAAGATTTGATTTGGAATTATTAAAAAAAGAAATAAAGGAATTAAAATCTATTTTACAAATGGTTGACTCACCAATTGTCTTTGCACATAATGATGTAAGTAAAAAATTAATTACTTTATGATTTGATTTGATTTGATTTGATTTGATTTGATTTGATTAATTTAATTAAATTGTTATTTTCATTTTGTTTATTTGTTTCTTTAGTGCCAGTATGGGAATATATTACGTCTTACTGATGGATCAAATCAGCTAGCAATCATTGATCTAGAATACTCTGGTTGGAACCATCGTGGTTTTGACATAGGTAACCACCTATGCGAGTGGGCCTTTGACTACCACTCAACAGAGCCTCATGTGGCACATTTGGATTGGTATCCAAACGAACAGCAGCAGCGTAATTTTTTGGAATCTTATTTGGATTCATTTCTATTGGCATCAAACAATAAAAACAAAAATAATAATAGTATATCAAGAGATGAACTTTTAAAAAAATTAAAAATAGAAGCCGATGGTTATTCATTAGCAAGTCACATTATGTGGGGGCTGTGGGGCATTGTGCAATCAGCACAAAGTCAGATAAAATTCGACTATTTGGAATATTCATGGCAAAGGATCAATGCCTTTAGGACATTAAAGGCCAAAATATATAAAGACATTTCGGATGAATTTAACAAGATTTAATTTCATTTATTTATTTTATAATTTTATTTTTATTTTATAATTTAATATTTATATATATATATATATATATATATATTTATGTAATAAACACTGAGCGTCTAATTTATTGTGACGTAAATCAAAAACCTGATGTATAAGCCACTGAATTTTTTTATTATTATAAATATATGACATTCCAATCCCTTCTCATAATTAACTGCTTTTTAAAGCAATTCTATTTTGTAATACATCAATAAATTTTATTCGTTAGTAGATTTTTATTTTTCCATAGTCAAAAAAAATAAATGACATTCTTTTCAAAAAAATTTAAAAAGAGGAACTGAAACATTGATGGATACCAAAATTTTACAGAATTTTGCAGACATGCCAATAGTAGTATGTAGTAGAGGAAACAACAGTAATTACAATAACAATAATGATGTTGTTGTTGATGATATTGATATTAATGGTGATAACAAAAATAAGGAGCTTTTTTTTAAAAAAAATCAATTAATGGAATCAACATCAATGCCGCAAACAAATGATCATAACGATTCATCATTAAAATTTTTTAATAATAATGATATCACTAATTTAAAAAAAGTTAAGAAATCAATTAGCAATAATCCTATTGGGCATGTTGATGACTTGGAAGAACAAACTGCTGCTGCTGCTGCACAAACATTGCAACTCTTAAAGCTAACTTCTAATTTACAAAATGATGATGATGATGATGATGATGATCATGACAATGTTTTTAATAGTGATCATCAGATTAACTATGATAATAATCACATTAATGGTAAAAATATTATTCTCAATTCAGGTTGTTATCTAAACAACCATGATAGTGAAGGTAGTAACAATGGAAATGATGCTGCTGATGGATTGAGCAGAAAGAATATATTAGAACATCATCCCATTTTTTTTAATGCTGATATAAGAGGATTGACGGATAAATTATCACAATCTCAACATGATTCTACTAGATCCCCTGCAGAACAACAACGATATTTAAACATTTCTTTGGATTGGAATAAACCTGTTGATACAGCTTTACTTCATTCTGTAGCAGTACGAACACGGGAGATCGAAAGAGAATTGTTACCACTTCCAATAATCTCAGCTCATACAAACTCTTCATTGCCTAATTCTTCCAACGTATTTAATCCATCTAGTTCATCAATAAATCATAAATATTTAAGAAATGAAAATGTTAGAGTTGATGATAACAATAACAATAATACTAATAATAACAATAGCAATAATACTAATAATAATAACAACAACAATGATACTAATAATAATAATAATAATAATAATAATAATAATATCAACAACAACAATAAAATATTTCGTCGTGATATTTCATTTAATCAAAATATGAATGATCCTGAAATATCTACAAATTTATTAATCACTACAATATCAGAAAATTCTCAATTTTTTATTCCAACCTCAACACTATCTTTTTCTGATTCTCAGGCTTTCTTAATGCCCACAACGTCTAGCAATAATAATAATGGTAATATTATTAACAACAGCGATAATAACAACATAATACAACAAAAAAATTACAATAATGATTGTATGAACTATAATACAAATAGTAAAGTAAATAACAATATAAATAATTCCATCATTCATCTGGAGTCTAATAATATTTCTGCGCAACAATATATGGAAGTAAATTCTAAGTTGGGACTATTTCCAAATAATTCACATCTAAATAAAAAGCTTGAATCTTCACCGTCAAATGACAATATAAAGAATTTTAAAAATAATAATGACAATGATAATAAAAATGATAATGATGGCAATTACATTATTGGTATTAGCAATAATAATAATAATAGTAGTAAAGGTGATAATGATACTCATCGATCACTCGGTTACAAATGCCTTTATCCTAATTGTGATAAGTCATTTGCTAGATTATATAATCTTAAATCTCACCAATGTACCCATTCAACAGATCGACCATATAGATGTTTAATTTGTGAATTGGCATTTGCGAGAAATCATGATCTAAAACGACATCAAAAAATTCATGATAAAGTAAAACTTTATAAATGTGATGGTTGTTTAAAGCTTTTTTCAAGGTTAAAAGAAAATAATATATATACATATTAATTTATTTTAAAATATATATATATATTATAGTTGATGGAATTTTATATTTATTAGATTGGATGCTCTCAAACGTCACAAACAAAATCCAAAAAATCGCAACACATGTCAAATGACATTATACGTATAAAATGAAATGAACAATATTTAAAGTTTTTTTTTTTTTTTTTTTTGTTAACATAATTATTATATATAAGAATCTAATCATTATATAAGTAATTTAACCAACTAACAGCAATATAAACGTTTAACGACAATACAATGATAATTTTAACTTATGGGCAAGTATTTTTGATATCAGGATCACGAAAAATCTTGATAATCACAAACTTTTTTTTTTTTTAAAAAAACTATTTAATTATATATGAATAAAATTACCCATCAGGAGAAATTTCAATTTCTTCCATTACTTCCAAAGTTATGACATCTCTCGAATGCAGAATAGGATTAAATTACTTTCAACTCCATTATCAATCAAATACTACCATTTGTCAACTCGGCAATTCTTGTAAAAAAATATTAATTAGATCTTTATCACTTTTCCTACTTGATGCTAGCTGTTTAACAAACTTATCATAATTGACACGTATTCATGTTGACATTAAGCCTTCTCATTCATTCTCAATTTTGGCAATTCCAACCATAGCGTGAACATTTATCCAAGTTTTGCATCATAATTTGAATGAGCTGTAAAATATTATGCGAAATACTAGAATGTGGTATTGTATTATATTGTTCTAATTCGATAATTGGCTCTTCTACATAATAAATAAAATGATGATTTTTAACACACATATATATTAATATGAACATTCGTGCTGCAAAGAATTTCAGGGCCCAAATCACGTTATACTTCAAGAATAAGGATTTGCCAATTATTGTGCCTCTAATATTTTATCATCAAAATTTATCAAGGTCCAAAACCATACAACTCGGTAAGTTGTAAATGGTATTTGTAATTACAAGTTTGACATTGAATGTATCGAAAATAGTGAAAGAAATGTGAACAAATCAGGAATCTATGTGTCTTCCAGCTACATTCAAATAATAAGCTATTCATTCTAAATTTCTTAGCTTAATTTAAATTCTTTGAATAAATTAGGAAATGTAATTATCAATGACCCAAGGTGATAAAACGAGGGATGGTGAAAAGGCAAAAGGGAATAAATATCTATAAAAAGTTTGTAAAAATTCCTAAATTCCTAATTAATTTGTTTTTATAGAAAGGTGTGCTGTCTTTTAAGTCCTTGCCTACATACAAATAAAGTACTCAAATATTGTCATGATTACAGATCTAAATGCTACATTATGTAGTATTAATGTTTAAAATAAAATTATTATTTTTATTTTTATTATTATAAATAAATAAATAAATAAATAATTTAAATAAATAATTTAAATAAATAATTTAAATAAATAAATGCTAATAATATTATTATTATTACTATTACTATTAAATATTAATTAAATTAAAATCATTTATCTTGATTATTAATCCAATTATTATATTCATACTCGTATTTTTTTTCAGCATCATCCAAATAACCATCATCACCATCAGATGATGATATAGCAACATAATTTTCGGGTATTAAACCAATCTTACCATCAAGTTCGGCTACTAACCACCCAACACATTGTTGGTAATTTATTGTTAATATATCACCTTCTTTAAAACTCAATTCTGATGTATTCTCTGCCAGGAAATCATATAGTGCACAAGCCTTCTTATCTTTATATTTTCCATCATCTTTTTTATTGGCATAATTATTGGTGTGATTTTTACTACTACTACTACTATTATTACTACTAATACTAGCATACATATTATTAATATTGCTATCATCATCTATAATATAATCATCATCATTATTATTGTCATAATTATAATAATCATAATCATCATTATCAAAACAATCATTATCATCTAATGATGTGATCATATTTTGTCCCCAATGTCTTGGATCTTCTATTGGGAAAGCAAAATCTCTTATTTTTATTAGAATCTAAAATAAATAATTTAAATAATTCAACACTTTATATTTTTTATGAAAAAATTATTACCGAAATTAGTAAGAGATTATTATGATTACCGAATCCTGATTTGATCCACCATTTAATTTTTGTTTATTTATATTAACATCATCTCTTAACATGTCATCATCATCACTTTGATTCTCTTTATCATTGTATTTTATTGATTCTGGATTGATGGATTTTAAATTTAAATCATTATTATTATTATTATTATTATTATTATTATTATTATTATTATTATTATTATTGTTATTATTATTATTATTATTATTATTTTCTGTTGTTTTTGTTTTGCTGGATGAATTCATTTTTAAATCTATAATAACTACAAAAATATTATTAATATAATATTAATATAATTTATACATATTCAGTAGTAATATTAAGGTGGATGGATGAAATCTACAAATATATGTGTTAAAACATAATTATTAAATAAATAATTTTAAAAAAATTATAAAAAAAAAATTTGGTCCCTAATTATGATATAAATCTTACCTTCTAATAAAACTTCATTAAGAAAACAAGAAAAATTATTAATTATTGAATATAATCAGTTTATTAATTCTGTAATTGTTACAAAAATCGTCGATCTTTCTAAATTTAGTAATAATAAATTTAGTGTTTCGGTATTTATGACATGAATTCCGAATATGTAATAATAATAATAATAATAGTGATAATAAAAAGGATGCCAGAAAACGACGGGGGCGGGTTCAATCCACACTTGCCCGTCCCCCGTCCTTTTCAAGTTTGGCCCATTAATACTAGAAAAGGACGGGTGATGGTACGGGTATTCTGCAAAATAATGTAAAAAAGGACGGGTAACAGATGTGGCGTGGTGAAGGCGCAGAAACCCGTCCCCCGTCCTTTTCTATTATTCATGGGCAAATCTGAAAAGAACGGGTTACTATGCCATTACCATCCGTCCTGCTGCTCCTTTTCATTATTCGCGGACAAACAATGAAAAGGACAGATGAAAGGTGTTTGTTATAAATATAATTTTTAGTAAATAGGCTGCATTATTGAACTATTATAATTTCCCGTCTCTATTTATTTCTTATCTAAAGTCTTGATGTTTATTTTTTATTGTACAAATTGAGGCTAAAGCTTATGTAATAAATAAGTTAATTAAAATATATAATATAATCGGTCGGATACATGAAAAAGACAGGGGACGGGCAGATGTGGCTTGAACCCCGTCTCCCGTTCTTTTCATTTTGCATTAATTATTGCAAATATTAATGCCTGTCTTTTTTTTTAAGAAAACATCAGGGACGGGCAGTAATGGCGCAGCAAACCCGTCCCTTTTTTTCACCATCTTCTCAAGATTCCCATGAATAATAGTAAAGGACGGGGAACGGGTCACTGTGCCACGACCGTCTCTTGTTGATTGCTCGTCCTTTTTTACACTATTTTGCAGAACACCCGTACCATTGCCCGTCCTTTTCTAGTATTAATGTGTCCCATAATAAAAATGTATTTATAAATAAAATACAAAATTTAATTGAATGCATTAATTTCTTGTGACTTTTGTTTTAATAATAATATAATTTTGGAAACAAAATCAGGTGGCAGTCTATTTCTACTAGGTGTTATATGACTTTCAACATCAGAAAATAAACACTCATACAAAAATATTAATAGACAATTCATTTTTTCACTAATTTCACCATGGAAAAGGGTCAACAATTCTTGATGCTATTGGTAAATTAAAATATTTTCAATTCACCTTGTTCTTGCTCAAATTGTTGCAGTTTATCAAATAAATCATCAAAAATTACTTGGAATACTAAAACTAGTTCTTAGTGGTAACCTTACACTTCTTGATTGAATAGGAATATTAATTTGTTATTCTTTCCTCTTCTTGTTGCTTTAATAAATTATATTGATCTTTTAATGGATTTAAAATTTCAGAGTGCTGTTCATTGCTAAAAAATCCTAGTCCTTTAAAACGTGGGTCTAAAGCTAATGCAAAATCAGCTAGAAAGGAAGGAGTGATCCAATAACAATTTAATGAATTATACAAAGTTGAAATAATGTTTTCACATAATCCTTGCTATCAATACCATTACTTTCCTCAAATAATGATGGTAGGTCTTCATCACTTTCTTCATTACTATTTATTGGTTCAATAGTATCATTTTGAAAACTATCATTCCCTATAAAAAATTTAGTCAGAAAATGTAAGGTTTTTCCATACATTTTCCACATATTCTGTATGGAATATGTACAGAATTATACATTAAAAGAGCACTTTTCCATACATATTTGCCCTGAAAATGCACTGGAAAATGTATGGAATTTTCAGAAAATGACCTGAAAAATTACATTCTGTACATTTTTCTATGCATTTTCCATACATTTCCCATGAATTCATATGGATGTTAAGCATGAAAAATGTACAGGAAATGTAGAGGAAAATGTATGGAATGTATTTTCAGGTCATTTTTAGGACAAATATGTATGTAAAAGTGCTCTTTTCATACATATTCCATACAAAATGCACATTTTCTGAAAAAAAAATTTATAGGGATTCTTGTCTTCTTCATCATATTAACAATTCTAAAATTTTGGTTTTAGAAAAAAGATCAACGAAGTAACTGAAGATAATGTTACAAAGTCTCTACCACTGAGTGATGTTGTTACTGTATCAAATTGTCCAAGTAGTTCAACAAGTTCTTTAATTAAATCCTATTCATTATTAGCTAATAATAAATTTTGTAATCTTTTTAGTTTCATAATCATTACCCAACATCATATGATTTTGTAAAATAATAATAATGACTTCCTTGAGATCTAACAATCTCACCCATGAATTATACATCATATATTGATTTTAGTTTTTCTGGTTAATCTTCCTTTAATATCTCTTGTGGTTTGAACAATGCCTCCAACTGTTTTGGGGAGTTGAGAAATAGCATAAATCTTCTCATCCTTAGAACTAATACTTTGATACTATCATTGCAATTAAGTGTCCTTTTAATGCAAATTTGCAATGTATGATCTGCACAAAGAATTCTTTCAATATTTAATGAATTTTTTAATAATCTAGAGCCTAAAACCATATTACTGTCATTACCAACAGTGATAGAAATGATCTTTTCCTCTGTACCCACTTTATTATTTCTTCCTTTAATAAATTTTGTATGTGGATAGGGAATGTAAAATAAGTTTAAAAATGTCTCAGTTGGTCCAAAGCTTTCAGAGAGCCAAGAACAAGCTATACCCATATATCCTTTTTTTGATGCAAAGCAATCCAAAAATCTGTGGTCAATGAAGCAAATTGACAAGTACCAACAAGCTTGTTTTGAATTTCATTAGATGAAGTATTATACAGATGCACTATTAATTCCTTAATTAAATTTGTGTTTGAAAGATTTGAATTGGGATTTAGAAAGTAAATATATTTTTGAAAATTAGGACTTTTCAAGATATAAAAAGGTGAAGAATCTTTTATTATAAACCAATTCTATAACATGAATCAATAAAATTGATGAAATAATCAATAAAATAAAGCCAAGAAAAATCATAATCGAAAATAAATCAAACCAACCTCTAACAGTAAAAAATATTCAGAAGAAATTGAAAAGATTTCAAACAATTGTTTGATAAAATGATCGAATTGTACTCAAATTTTCCTTTGGTAAAAAAATGATGGTGAAAATCTATAAATTACTTAGCAAAGGGAAAGGAGTTGCTGCTTCTACAATAAAAAATTTCTATTTACCAATGAAAAATGAATCCCAGAAGGAAACAATAGAAGCAACCCAGTAATAGATTAATAAGGAAAAAACCAAAGAATGACATAGAAGATACTAATATTAGTAATGATAATGATATTATTAAAAGTTATAATCAAAAGAATAGTAATAATGAAAGCTATATTTTTGTCAGAGTGCCCAAAAAATAGGTAACACACAAATGGCTTTGGATCCGAGTATTTTCCTCCTATGCAAGTACTCTGACTATTGTTTTTTTTTTCCAGGAGTAGTAGTTCGTTTACTATTGGTCAAAATTATGCATAGGAACAATTAATTAATTAATAAATTTTTTTTATTTACTTCGCAAAAAAAATGTCTACTGTCGAAAAATAGAAAAGGAATTGGAGCGAGCAAACAAGGAGTATGAAAGGTTGGAGGGGGAAGGTTAGAGAGGTTGAATGTGTTAGATAAAGTTTGCGGGAAAAGAATGGAATAATGCTAAAGAAAAAAAGTCGAAAAGGAGATACTTGAGGAAAAGAAAAACAAAGCCGGAAGACTAATATTAATACTACCAAGTGAATAACTACCTAATAAATCTCATGATTGCATAATTGAAAAAGTCCATTTTCAAGTAATACCGGGTTATACACGCTTGATTATACAATTTATGTCGATCATCGAGTAAAATTAGATGGCTACAACTTGTAATCAATATGACCGATCAACAACAACCCGAACTCTACTTTTTATTTGTTTAACTTGTCAAGCTTGATTTTCTTCTGTTGAAATTCAACAAAATCATTATGTTTCAGATTGGTATCGATACAATTTAAAAGGGAAGGTTGTCGAATTACCACCTGTAACCTTGGAAATATTTGCTCAAAAAGTCTTTAAATTATGAAGATGAGGTAAAGATAACCTTTAGTAAATAAAATTTATATTGATTTAAATGTATGCTAATATTATTATAATTGTTATTTAAAACAAAAATTAAAAGACAAGCACTTTATTATTGGTGGATAAAAAGATAGAAACTTCTATTTGTTTAGGAGAGATGGATTGTTTGTTCTGTACACATAAGTCCGATACTTTTGATGACAATATCACTCATATGACTAAAGTTCATAGTTTCTTCATACCTGAAATTGGATATTTAGTTGATATACGTGGATTAATTAAATATTTAGGAGAAAAGATTTCGGTCAGTAATGTGTGCCTTTACTGTAATGGACGTGGAAAGGGGGTTTCAAAGTCTTGAAGCTGTTAGAAAACACATGGTAAATTTTTTTCTTTTTACCAAGAAAAAAATAAGTTTTCAAGTTTTCAACTAATAAAAAAAAAATTATTATTTAGATTGATAAAGGTCATACTATGATAATTTATGATCAAGAAGATGATATTATGGAAATATCTGATTATTATGATTTTAGATCTAGCTATTCTGATGTGGATATTGATGATGATGATGATGATGATGATGATGATGATGATGATGATGATGATGATGATGATAAATGGGAAGATATTGATGATAAGGATGAGGATGAATTACCAAAAAGGTATTGGAAGTTTTTTTTTGTTTATTAAATAATTTATTTCTTTATGAATGAATAAATAAATAAATAATCTGAATATCTATGAAATATATTGAATAGGAACATGATATGGGTTCCATCCTAGCAAAAAGGTGCTTCGGGCTCAAAAACCCCAAAATGAGTTATTGACACCATTATATTCTTTGAAGTGATGATTATAATTTGGTATAATTTTTGTCAACATTCAATTAATAGAAAAGTGTACAATTAGCTCACAAAGATTTATTGAATTTTGGCCCCAAAAAATTTATAATGACAAAAAAGGAAATGATAATCTTACAAAAATTTTTTTTTTAAATTTCCATTTCATTTGAATTAGGATTTGAAAAATGAACATCTTTATGAGGTTCCTCTACAAATTTTCTAATTTTTTTATATAAATATAATTTTTTTTCTAAATCTATATTAATTGGAATAATATTAATGGGATCATTATGATTAAAGTTATTATTTTTTAAAAGATTAAAAGATTCTTCTTCACCACCAGATTTCATTGAAACAAAAACTTTTCCTTTGTTTTCAGGCAGGTTGTTAAATCTAAAATGATGATATTGC